GAGGAGGCAAAAGCAAGGAACAAGCCGATCCCTGAGTTCAAGATCGCCAACACGTTACCCAAAAAGTCGGGACACAGCTTCCTCGACTCCCTGGCACCCTCGTTCCTGAACGTTGACGTCGATGGCCGTGTCGTTCGGTTAGACACATTTTCGAAGACAGTCGCACCGGGTTGCCGGCTTGGTTGGGTCACAGCTTCACCTCAGATTTGCGATCAGATCGTTCGTATAAGTGAAACTGGCACTCAGCAACCATCTGGCTTTGTGCAGTCGCTCATCGCAGAAAACATCATGGGACCACAGCCCGAAGCATCCGCAGCTTTCACCTCGAGGTCACGTAAGGATCAAATTTCGTTCAATGGCTGGAAGACGGAAGGCTGGGTCCGATGGCTCGCGGGTCTCCGCGGCGAATACGAAAGGCGCATGAACGAAATGTGCCATCTCCTCGAGGAGCACGCATACCAGCTGAAGCAATCCACTCCCGTGCGCGAGTCCGACTCGGACTGGGGCGTGATCACGAAGACCAAGCTGTACGACTTCGACTGGCCGCGCGGCGGCATGTTCCTGTGGCTGAGGATCTACTTCGAGCAGCACCCGATGTTCGGGGCGCTGGGGTCTGGGGGCACCCTGATCGACGGCATGGCGCTCTCGGCGGCGCTCATGATGTTCCTCACGCACAAGCCGCACCTCGTCCTCGTCAGCCCGGGAACCATGTTCAGCGTCACCCCCGAGATCGCGGCGAGGCGCGGCTGGCAATATTACCGCGTCTGCTTCGCCGCTGAGACGGACGAGATGAATCGCGCTTGCTCCACGCGCCTCGGCCTCGGCATACAGAAGTTCTGGCGCATCAAGACTGTTGCGGAGATTGAGGCCCTGCTGGATGAAGCGGGTTCGCTTGAGGCTGAGGACGTTGACGGTCCGGGTTTGGGCTGGATGGGTTGCTAGGTTTCCGTTGTTATCTTGGAAGAACGAACATGATGTGTGTGTACATATGCGTAATATCTATGGATATATGCCGTAGTGTACATAGTCTGCGCTCATACTGGAAAGCTTGTGCGTCTTATTTACGTTTTTTTTTTTAAATGAGATGCTAGTATAGTACATTTTGGACAGACATATATTCTTGCCTATTTATATTCTCCTTCATACGGTTTGTGTGCTGATCGGATCTCATTTCTATGACCGTGTCGTGCGAATCGGGAGGTACAGAAATGGGTCTAGTCTGAAACTATTGGAGACATGGCGTTGATCTACCTACATATGCTATTGCTATGATGCAGCTCAGCTGGCTTTGGTACGCATAGTCTCCATTCGTTTGCTAAATTCGGAAGGGGCTCGAGAGAATTGCTTTCATAGGCTATGCGTAGACTAGCAATGTCACAAATTTATCACATATTGCAATGTTTTGAAGACGAAGAAGGCAAGTTAGGGCGGCAGAGATGTTCATAATGACAATTCCGTTGATTCATGAGACCCTATGAACCCATTACGCCCAATCACAATCACAATAAATGCTCTGCCCTTTTATCCGATTCCACATAGACTAGCTGCTCACCAAGCTGGTCTTCTGATTTAATCCTCCTTCAGGACGCTGGTGAAGGATGCCGGGGTCTTGGGAGGCTTGCCGGTCTCCTTCTTCTGCGAACCGAGCTCCTTCTTGACGAATGTGGAGTGGTAAGGGTTGAAGCGCAGCATGATCTGCTTGTTGCGCAGAGGGTTCTTCTGAATGCCAGAGCGCTTGGTCACCGCACCGCCCTTGGGCGCACGGAGAACGCTCTGGATTTCGGAGCTGTTGATCAGACGGCTCAGGTCGGCCTGGGAGACGACATTGGAAGGCAGGAGGAAGTCCTTCTTCAGGTCGGAGGGGGTGGTGGTGGTGCCGTAGATCTTGTCGAGGGCCTTGAAAGCAGCCGAGGTCCAGACGATGAATCGGCCGAGGTGACCACCAGGGGCCAGCTGGAGAAGGTTAAGGGCGAAGACAGAGCAAGTCTCGACACCGGGCAAGTTCCGGGTGCCCTTGACAAGCTCAGTGCCGTCTACCTCAGGGTCGTAGATGACTAGAGGTCCACGTCTCTGGCGGTGACGTCGGCCTCGCATCTTACCCTTACCAGCCCGCAGCTTCTTCGACTTCTTGGCCTTGATGATATCGGCGGAGGCGCCGACGGCAGACAGGATGGCGAAAGCAGCGGCGGTCTTGGCGGCAGCAGCTCCCTCGAAGACAGCAGAGTCGACGACCAGGGGTACTTCGGGAACGCTGGAGATCTGGTGACCGCGGGCGAGGAGTAGAGGGGCAACAGCGGAGGCGGCAAGGGCAGAGGCAGTGGCGAACCGCCTTTTTTTTCATGTCAGTCTCAAGTCTCTCTCAAGTCTCTCCAATCCCAAGTCTCAGGCGTTGACTCGAGCACGGATATACACTCACTTCTGGCCCTGGTTGATCTTGATGTGCCACTTGCGCCAGGTCTTGGTCGGGGCGAACATGCGACCGGAACGGCACATGTTACCGAAGGCAGCCTGACCGGCGCGGTGAGTACCACCACCAGACACACGCGGGATACGGGCGACGGCGCGACCGGTTCCCCAAGACTCGGCCGAAGTCTGGTGGCCGGCCTTCTCGCTCACAGCATAGGGCTGGCGCTTGTTCTTGGCCATGCCCGTGTGCACCTGCTGGACAATATCGGGTCGGATCGGTGAGGCAAAGACGGCGGGGATGGGATGGGTAGCTCCCGAGGGAGTGCCATCTTTGCCGATGATGGTGACAGTCGGTCTAGAGGCCATCGTGAAGTCGCTGGGCTGTGACAAACCTAAATGTTAGTATGGGGCGAAATGAGAGGGTATAAGAGCAGAAAAATTAGACAAGAGAGATGGGACGGCAGAATTGACTAGGCGGAGCCCTAATTTCTGCGCAAGTGGCCTACGTACCTCGACTTTGGTGGTGGATGGTCTGGACAAATTCCGTTGGTGATATTTCGCAAGTCGAAAATTGACTATTGGAGTCCACACATTAATTTTGTGTGGGAGTTACAGGGCTGCTCCATTCGCTTGAACAGCTGCTGCCGGCTGTGGGATATGTATGCCGGCCCGCGCTAGGAGGCTTGTGCTTAGCCCCGCAACAAGCCAATTAGGTGGCGTTACCGCGATCAAGCAGGTGAGCCGGCTTCTTAACTCCTAGAGCTGCTTGAGCTTATTGTGCCTTCACATGATTCCTGCTTTATGCCGCCCTGCCTGCAACCTGAAACTTGATGCATTCGCAATACCCCTGGTATAATCCTCTCACACAGTTGCCGCCTTGACCGGCATATTTAATCTACCAGACCGAGGTGCTGGCTACGTGCGGCTACAGAAATTTGAAAACTCAACTAAAACCATCTACTTTTTGCATATCTCAGCTAGGAAGTATTTTGCGATCTCACGGTATTAATGACAATAGGGATAATGGTATTGATTGAGCATGGAAAAATTGTGATGTTGATCTTGTCCAAAAAGCTATGCATATGGACACCCGAGTCCGTGCTCGATTGCCTATTGATCATATAGGGCACTATTTACCATAGCTCCTCAGTACCCGTGAAGCGAAACAGACATAATTCCTGCTCTCGGCACGCCGAAATAGCTGTGAAGCGCTTATGGAAACTGTCGCTAGAGAGCACTCGCATAGGCGGATAGGCCTTCGGCGTCAGTGCAGCGCTTCGTATGCTACGTCTCGGCTAGAAGCCGTGGACCTTGATTTTCTTCGGGTCAAGCTCCAAGCCGTCACGGCCGACCAAGAATTCCTCTATAGAAAATTAGTATACGACATAATCATAAAGATCGTCCGATAGAGGACCACGCACGCATAACCTTGCGCTGGTCACCTTGTAGTTGGATGACCTCGCCCATGTTACTGTCTATCACGACAGTGCCATTGCAAGCAAACTTTTTCTTGATCACAGTGAGGATCTTCTTTCGGTCAAACTTGTTGGGCAACCCCTGGACGGTGGTCAAGGTCTTGCGGCCATTGCGCTCTGCATTTGGTCAGCGACACTATTCCCACACACTACATGACGAGGCGATCATGGCGTATGTCCTTACGTTGGATCCGAATATGGACGTAGTCCTCTTGCTGGCTCTTCACTTGGCTCGAGTCTTCGTCTGCTTCAGCATCATGGAAGGGGTCTAGCATACACGTGAGCGGGGCGACAAGAGGGTCGGCTTCCAGGGGAGGTGGGCTGCATACCAAAGGACTTAAGGTTCTCGATGGACATCTATGACACCGGGCTTTCAAGCAGTTCAGGGCGATGATTGGTCGGAAATGTTGAATATGTCTATGTGTAGGGCGATGTTCAAGTATCGAAGCGGGTTAGTTTTTTGGACACGGTTGAGAGATATGATGGTAGTGAATAGATAGGTAGGGAGAGCAAGTAAGTGAGCAACAAAGATAACCAAGGCGAACTCAGGAGATGACGGAGGGTGTGGGGTAATATCAGCAAGGAGCCCTCCGATAGTGCTCCAATTTAATTGTCCTACTCGAGGTCAGGTACGGAGTACATGCTAGGTAACCCACCTAAACTTCCCCATCTCCAGCAACGTTCACGTCCTGATTATTTTAAGCATATATTGACAGACAGACATCACCTAGAGTACGAAGTATTATGTTCATATTTGAGGTAGAGATGGTATTTGTGTAGAATGCGCTTTACTTTCAAAACATCTCAACATCATGCGTCTCATGTATATGGAAAGAGTCTGATGCTTGCATTGCTCAACATTTCGATCCCCGATTACTGCCCGATACTCGCCCGAGACAATCTCATCCCTGAAACACATCTTGTAATACCTACTAAGTAGTAATATGTGTGCTGATTTGCAGAGAAAACTTGAAGAACCCCATACCGGTACGGAGTAGGTACCGCATGCATCTGGCCTGTACCCGAGCATTTGCCCCTCTTTCGCCCCTCTCTTTCCTGCAAGTAATTAATCCGCATTTCAGCTCTCTAGTTACCATTAGTCCCAGTTCTCGTCATCAATCCGAATTGGTGTAGTGGCTAACATTTGACGCTCTCATCTTCGTCCTGCGAAGGAAGCACCGTCAAGCCCGGGGTTCGATTCCCCGATTCGGAGTTAATTTTTCGTTTTGTTATTCGCTTTTTGCTCAGATAATTGTTTCAAGTTACTTGAGAAATTGTGTCTTTTGTACTTCGTATTGCCGATGCAGTTTCTTGAACTTTTCATCTTCTATTTTGCTAGTTCCATTCAACCGGACTCCAACATCTAGAGACGACTTGAAGGTAACTATATCAATACATGTTTAAACTCGTCGTGGTGTCTAGCCTCTATCACAAATGGCATATAAAGGTCTTGCTCTTAGCCGTGTGCACAGGCCTACCAATTTCTCACTCAATCGTACATGTCAGAAATATAGCAACACAGGCCAACGCATTACTGAAAAAGTTCGCATGATTCCTTCTCAATAAGCGCTTTCATGCGTTTGCATAGAGTACGAAGTACCTACCTACCTAATATTACTTCTAAGTCTACATTTTAGAGTAGCACCGTAAACTCTGCGAATTGTCACGAAGTAATAGGTATATGAATTTGGCGAGTAAAGAGCGACAGGCTCGCTTATTGGATCCCAACCGCTGATAGAGATCTGAGCTTCGGGCCAATACTGCGAAGTGAGAATCGCATTTTACTGCGTATTGAAATTGTAATCAGTCGGCTAAATAAATTTGTTAGCGACGGCTGGACAAAACCGCGAATGATAAGTCTTGTGCCGACTCATCCGAGAGATACAGAGTGCTTAGGCGCCTACCGGTATAGGCTATTGCACTGGTTTGCTATGATATTTCGAGGTTTATTGGCACCCACCAGAGATAGTGTACGGACAACCCAGCGTGGCATCGGGAACGGTGTAGGTACAGTACAGTACTTAAGCGACGAACGAGGGTCTGACTGCATTAGAACACAGGGGTGAGAATAGGCTCCGTCGATAGTTTTCCATAGCGTACGGCATGTGCAGTGATCTAACCGAATCAGTAAAACGCTGTGCTTGATACAGTATAGCGCTCCTGGGGCGCACAGCTGCGGACTTCTGTGCAGATTCTCTGCAGACTTAAAGTAGGGTACCGTATGATGTGGAAGAGCGTTTTCATAATACCAACATTATTATAGGTTAGGTATGTGCAGTATCTACCAGCCTCGCCCCGAATATCCGAGAGATAATTGTGTGTCTGCCAATAAGCACCAGTAAATATCGGGTACGGCACGAGCTGCTAGATAACCCCGAGCAGAATCTATTCTCACGGTCGAGCATCATAACCATGATGTGCCATTCCAATGCCTAGCACAAGTTGTGTAATAAGGCTGATGATGGCCACCCAAACACATGCGAATAAGCGTGGCTTTCTCGATGGTCAGACTCAACTCCTCGCCGCATATCACCTCGCCAGGCATGGGGAGCTGGGCCCTAGTGCGTGAGGTTAGTGACCATGCTTCGGTGTCCATTGTGATTTCGGAGATGAGCCTGCATGCACGAAGTCCGGATAGGCGCACGAACTCTTAATTACCGGTGCAAAAGGCCTGGCGTCCCTATTATAACATATTGGCTGTGCGTACGGAGTAGCGAATGCTGTATTGTATTCGCGACCAGCGCTTGACATTACTTGGCATAAAATATAGTAAGCAAATGGCCTGATGTCTTCATATTTGACGAGATGCCACTTTGATTCCCTTAACCGCAGGTTGGTGTTGCTCGGTAGGCGGGCGAAAGCCTTTTCGAGCTGATTTACTCCGCACAATGAGAAGATCTAGCGCAGTCTAGAGGCGAGCCGCTGAGCAGGGTAGGGCTGCGTAAGTCTATCACCCTGGGTGTTCCCCGAACTGCGGCTACACATTGCGGCTTTTGGTGCAGGTAGCCTGAGGTAGGGTAACATTAGACGCCACCTATTTATCTATGTCATAGGGATACACATTGATTTTACGCAGTGTGCTGTGCCACAACACATTCTATTCTGGCCACCGGTGTTACAATGTGGTCCATTTAGGTAGGTATAATATACACGATATTCGAACCGATGGGCGACTACTTCATGCTGGTCTTTTGGGTGCGTCTCGATCACAATAGGTAGGCTATAAAAGACCGTTAATGACAGATACGTCCCGTACAATCCTAACCGACTGCTACAGTACACAGCAGATATATTCCTTTGTGTTTATTGTCTTCAATCTAGAGAGGCGATAGACGTATAAGCGGTACGTGCATACCATCAAATATCACAGGGCTATAGTACGGACATAAGCCACCGTTCTGTGATACCTGCCTGACTGGGAGCGAAGTATTGTCAAGCTGAACGACGAACCGCTGTCTAGAAGCTTTATTTCATCACTTGACGATGGCGTGTCACATGAGGCACCGTTTTGACGAGATCGAGCCCCTAAGGCCGGACTGCTTGGCTGCTTTCCGGGGCGCCTACGGCTGTATGGTCTCTTTTCGGGCACTTACACTAATAGACGAGATCGAATCTTCCACTCAAAGCGACGCCATGCATCTGCACGCCAAGATGTTGAGCCCAGCGTAATGAGGCGGCCGGATGAGAATTCAAATCAACACTTTGTAAGCACATGGAGGGTCAAAGGCACTAACAACGGTGAAACCATAGATATATACTATCTATCAGCGTGGCGGCCCTCGTCTCGGTCAATCTCTAATTATGAAAGAGCCTCAATGTTAATCAGTGGCCCATGTTCAACAAGTAAGTAACCGGGGACGTGGCTCGGGAAAGCGTTCGGCTCGGTAGGTTCCGGGGACCCTGAAAATCCCACGTGTGGATCTTTAGGTAGGTAGCATCACTTATATTCCCACGTCCTGAATGAGCTCGCCTAGGCAGCTGGTCTCCTTGATACTGCATACTACATATACACCTACAGTGAGAGTACTTACAACACGTCGTGTCTTACGAAGTATTCTCCATATGGCCTGCATTAGCCGTCTCTGCGGCTGGACGCTCGCGCAGAAGGTCTCTCCAATCCCACCGTCGCCATTGGCTACTTTTGCTAGGGTTCTCGTATTCTCCTTGGTACACGACAGGGATCGACACAGCCCGCACTAAACCAACAAGAGGTATTCGATGAAGGGTCGTGGCAGATGGAAAATCCATTCATACTACGATGACTAGCAATTTAATATCAGTCCTTTCCCTCGTCTCGTGTCAAGCTGATCTGAGATGATTTTCTGTGTACGCCGATCTCTCTGATCCAGTCAGACTGGGTGTGGGGTGTTATCCTCTCTACGGTTGTCTTTCGTTTATACAAATAATTCTTAATAATACAGTTGTATTCTGGCATTGTGCCGGAATAAATCGTCACCATGCGCTGGAATAAAGCACTTTTGTCGGCGACGCTATCGTTGAGCGCGCTGGCAAAAGCAGACCCAACATGGCCTTCCCAGATCGACGAGCTGGAGGAGATCATGTATCAGGTTCAAGGCTATCGCTCGAGACAGTTTGGCGGAACCGTCATACCTTGCTCGAGCATGGCCGCGGGACCCGGACGTCTCAATGCCGGAGCGTGGTTGAGAGCTGCCTTTCATGATATGGCAACTACTACTATTGCCGGCGGACCGCGGCAGGGCGGCCTAGACGGATCACTACAATACGAACTGACAAGTTCGGACAATATTGGACCTGCCTTTAACACAACTCTCAAATTTATGGCTGACTATTACACAAGTCGCTCAGGTGTTGCTGATCTTATTGCTTTGGGCGTGTACTACGCTGTAAGATCTTGTGGCGGCCCAGTGGTTCCTATCGCCGCTGGCAGGATTGATGCAACAGAGAGTGGCCCAATTGGTGTCCCTTTGCCACAGAATTCAGCCTTCACATTCGGACAGCAGTTCACTCGCATGGGCTTCAGCCAGGAAGAGATGATACAGGTTGTTGCATGCGGCCACAGTGTCGGTAGTGTTCATGAGCTTGAATTCCCCGAAATCGTTCCAGTTGGAACTACTTCAGATGGCGAGAGACCGATGGACTCCACGGTTCATCAGTTCGACAATAAAGTTGTCACTGAATATATTTCAGGCAACACAACCAATCCTATGGTAGTTGGGCCTTCAGTCCAAGCCACGAGAAATTCGGATTTCAAAGTCTTCAACTCGGATGGAAATGTGACTATGCAAGCCCTGGCAGACCCCGAGACCTTCAACAACATTTGTGCCACGGTACTGCGCAAAATGATTGAGGTTGTCCCTGATGGGGTCGTCCTCACCGACCCTATTCAGCCATACACCGTCAAGCCAGTTGACATGCAGCTGACTCTGAACTCTGGTGCCTCAACTATGCAACTATCAGGGCTGATCCGGGTCCGGAGTACTGATTTCGGAGATGACTCTGCTGAGAGGGTCTTGCTAACCTACAAAGACCGAAGCGGCGGAGACAACTGTGGCGAGCTGGGCTGCACTTATACCGCCGATCTCCTGGGTGCTACCCAAGGATTTGACGATACGTTTGTGGTGAGTACACATTGTAACTCATCTGTGTATCATTTTCGCCCCTTTCTAACGCGAGTTGCAGTGGTTCCCTATTGATGTTGACATTCCGGTTGCCTCTGGCATCTCCTCTTTTACCTTGACGGTCAATATGGCTAGTGGAACATCTAATGCTTATGACAACAACGGTGATTCGTATCCCATGCAAGATGCTATTCTCCTGCAAAAGCCTCAGAGTTGTCTCCTTGAAGGCAACTTGCAGGTTACGGCAGCTGTAAGTCTGGACATCTAACTAGGTGATGATATACTGACATTTGGTTATAGGTCCGTAACGATATCAAGTCGCCGGCCAACCTGTATCTGTCGTACAAGACACCCGTTGGTGACCCAAATCGCCCGATCCCCACCCTGGGGAATACAACGGTAGCGATGACAAAGGGTGACTGTGTAGGCTCGTACACATTCTACACGGCTACTTATGAAGGCCTTGGGGATCTTGACTATGCTACCAAGATAGATGTGGTCACTGGGACTGGTGAATCAGCTTCACGAGATGCCTTCAAGGCGGCTAGTGATCTGGGAGCAAATTGCATGCCATTCAATGCGCCGCCGGCTGACATGTGCTCCAATGTGGACG